TCACCACTTTACTTTGGGCGGTCAGAGTAAAAGATGAGGTTGCTGACCTCCCCGGTCTTATACAGTTTCTGGCTTCTCTTTCAGGAGTTTGTGTTTGAACTGTTTCCTCTTTCTTTGTTTCCCTCTGTCTGTCTGACTGTCTCTCTCTCTCTGTCTCTTTTTTTCTTTGTCTCCCTCGTCTGTCCGTCTCTCTCTCTCTCCCTCTCTCTGTCTCACACACACACACACACACACACACTCTGTGTGGAGGTTATTGTGTCTCACACAAACTCACTGAGGAAAAAGAATGAATAAAGAATCCAGCGTAGAGCGGCTCAGTGAATGTGGTGGTGAGTGTGTGTAGGTGGGTCAGTGTGTGTGTGTTAGGTGAGATGGTGTAGAAGGACAGAGTGCCGGACCCCCAGTCCAGATACACTCCTACTCTATCAGAGGAGGAGGGGGGTGCAGGTAGGACAGTTTCCTGTTTATTGTGTCTGACAGCATATCTGTTATCAGAGCAGATCAGACTCCAGGACTGATTATTGTATCCAAACCTACAGTCAACACTGAGTTCTTTCCTCCTGATTCCTCTGTATGACACTGATATAAAAGCATCTCCGCTCCACTGAAGCTCCCAGTAACAGCGTCCAGTCAGACTCTCCACACTCAGAACCTGAGGATGGTGGTCAAATCTGTCTGGATGATCTGGATACGACTGATCTTCATCCACCCACTCCACCTTTCTGTTCCTCTCAGACAGAGAGAGTTCACTGCACACTGTTTTTGGATCCAGAGTGAGATCAACAGCATCTGTACACACACACAGACACACACACACACACACACACACAGTTACACACACACACACAGACACACACGTTTACACAAACAGAGTGAGAGAGAGAGAGAGGGAGTGTGTGTGTGTGTGTGTGTGTGTGTGTGTGTGTGTGTGTGTGTGTGTATCTTACATTTCTTCAGTCCTGGTTTCATCCTGATCTTCCCTCCATGATTCACCCTGAAGAACAAACACACACACACACACACACACAGAGCACAAAAGCTTGTCAGAGCGTCTGCTGTAAATCGTCAGTACTGAAAACACTTCACAGCTGCATGTCTGATTATAAAGAGCAGAATTAGTGCTGTTTAATTAGATTTACTGCAGCTCAGTGAGTGAAACACTGAATTCTAATAATTATTTATTAAATATTTAATATTTTTTCTTTTCCAGCTGAAAAAATGTCATGAAAAATAAATATTTTGGTGAACCATTTATCATCAACACTTCTTGAAGTATGATATTATATTACAGTATTAATAAACCCTCTCATCCTGTTCATCTGGAAACCAGTGCCCTACACACTGAACTTTTACCCTTACTAGTATTAGAACACTCCGAATTTGAATTGATCCTAGGTCTCCCATGGCTTGAAAAACACAATCCCACGATTTCCTGGACTGAACATGAAATACAGAAATGGTCAGACTTTTGCCTTCAGACATGTATTTCACCCCCTTTAGTTTCCATCTGATCCACTTCTGTTGAGAGTTCTTAAACGTCTCCTTGAAAATAATTTATTTGTTAAGGGCGAAAAATGTGAATTCCATCTCTAGTCTGTTGCTTTCTTAGGGTATGTGATCAGTTCTCAAGGCGTGGTAATGGATGATAAAAAGGTAAAGGCAGTAGTTCAGTGGCCCACTCCCTGGGTTTCTTTGGGTTTGCTAATTTCTATCGCATGTTCATTCGCAACTTCAGTAGCATTGCTGCTCCCCTAACCTCCTTGTTGAAAGGTAATCCCAAGAAGCTAATTTGGAATACACAGGCCGAAAATGCTTTTCAAACTTTGAAAGAGACCTTTACCACAGCTCCCATACTTAAACACCCTGATCCCTCAGAACCTTTCGTAGTAGAAGTTGACGCCTCAGAAACCGGTATAGGAGCGGTTTTGTCCCAACGATCAGGCTCTCCCCTGAAACTCCATCCCATTGCATTTTATTCCCACAAGTTAACCCCAACAGAGAGGAACTACGGTATAGGAGTTCGCGAATTATTATCCGTTAAGCTGGCATTAGAGGAGTGGCGGCACTGGTTAGAGGGAGCTAACCATCCTTTTGTAGTGTTGACTGACCATAAGAATTTGGAGTACCTTCATAACGCACGCCAAGCCCGATGGTCCCTGTTCTTCTCACGGTTTAATTTCCCCGGTTCCAGGAATACAAAAGCAGATGCTTTATCTAGAATACATCAGAGTAACAATCCAGTTCCCATTCAGACCACATCTGAACGTATTTTACCCACTGAGGTTTCTATATCCTCTGTTCGTTGGGAGGTCAATGATGAGACCAAGAAAGCCTTGGTTAGTGTTAATGTTCCTGATCAGTGTCCTCCAGGAAAACTCTATGTACCTAACCAATTTCGCAATTTCTCAGCTAATTACATGGGCCCATTCTGCACTCACTTCTGGCCACCCCGGGGAGACCCATACACAACAATTGTTAGCCAATCACTACTGGTGGGAATCTATGAACAAAGACATTCACACATTTGTAGCATCATGCTCCACCTGTTCTCAATGCAAAACCCCCAAGACCTTACCCACTGGTAAACTAGTTCCATTACCAATACCTGTCAGACCCTGGTCACACTTAGCAGTGGACTTTGTTACAGACCTGCCTGAATCTCAAGGTTATACCACAATCCTTACAGTCATTGACCGGTTCTCACGTGGAGTCCGTTTTGTGCCCTTTGCATCTATCCCCAATGCATTTCAGACGGCAGAGACTCTGTTTAACCAGGTCTTTTGCTTTTTCGGTATACCGGAAGACACTGTTTCAGATAGAGGCCCTCAGTTCACCTCCCAGGTATGGTCTGCATTTTTTGAACATGTAGGAGTAACTATAAGTCTAACTTCCAGCTATCACCCACAGTCCAACGGTCAATGTGAGCGCATGAACCAGGAGTTAGGAAAATTCCTAAGACTCTCCTGCCATAATAACCCAACTGATTGGTCCCGTTTTTTACTATGGGCAGAAATAGCCCAAAACTCCCTCATGAGCTGTTACAGGCATAACCCCTTTTCAGTGTATTCTCGGTTACCAACCTCCCCTAGCGCCTTGGACTGGTGTCACAACAGATGTTCCCGCAGTGGATGCCTGGATGCAACGAAGTGAGAGGATTTGGGAAGAAACTCACCAACGTATTGAGATTATGCTACAAAGGAACAAGGAACAAGCAGACTGTCATCGAGGTGCTACACCCGTATACCAACCTGTTTATCTACCAAAGACTTCAGAGCTACGGAGGAAAGTAAAAAGTTACAGCCTAAATATATTGGTCCATTTAAAGTGCTTAAAAGAATCAATGACGTGACTTATAAATTAGATTTGCCCCCTCGTTACAGACTATCCCGTTCTTTTCATGTTTCACTTCTGAAACCTGTCATTGCAGGGCCTTTGGACGAGGCTACGCCGGACGCCACGCCACCTCCCCCGGAGGAGATAGATGGTGCACCAGTTTATGCTGTCCGTCGGCTGCTGGACTCCCGGAGACGTGGAGGTGACCTCCAGTACTTAGTGGACTGGGGGGGATACGGCCCAGAGGAGCAGTGTTGGGTCAATCTGATTGGCTGAGCTGTGTTTGAAGCCGTTGTAACATACTTGATATTTGCCCACCGATAACCCCCTCACAACAGCTAAACTCTGTATCACTGCACCACGGCACGAGTAATTCTTGTGTTCCTAATGGATTAATCTTTGACTGTAATGCTGCTTGCATGGAGCACCGAGTACACTGACATAAGAACCCGGTTCTGTTTAATCTGAGGGGCTGACGGCTTATTTTCTTATCTAGAACTAACAGGCTAAAAGATAGCAAACATGCTAAACAACTCCATCATTGATATCACAGACTTGAATTAAAGCACTTACGATATGATTTACTGTAGAACTGCAATATAAAAAAGACTAAAGAATGACTTAAAGGCTTCAAATGTCCGTGTTTCAGTCAGAAGTCACGTTAAACTGAGGCTGAATCCCAAACGGCTCTGTACTCCCTAAATAGTGTTCTAGGGAAGTTTAGAAATTCTAGCTTCTGCAGGCAAACAGTGACTGTGTGTCGAGTGTGGATGGGACTGAATCCCAAATGACTGTTTATTAGCTGTATTACAGACTATTGGAGTTCAGGATCCAGTATTTAAACTCCTATGTAGTGCACTATGTAGGGAGCAGGGAGCTGTTTGAGATTCAGCCCCAGTGTGAGAAGAGGGCCCCAGTGGATTGGTGCTAAATTAGACAATAAGACTCACTAACTGGTAATTTGGGGACCAAAAAGGACTTATAAAGTTAAAGTCTCTGCATTAAACAGTGCTGCATTATCATATGTTTATTACTGTACAATAAAAAAGTTAAAAAGTTTATTAAATGACCGCCATATACAGCGATGGGTGACTGAACGTTCTCCTCATGCAGTGGTCCACGGTTGCTTGCCAACTATACCATAATCATTCCTACCATAAACATTTCTTGACAGAATACTTGTTTTTGTCAATTATTATTAATAATGTCAGTACTGTGTTTGTTCCTACTGTCAATTACAGTCTTTTTTATTGTTAATAATAATAATAATAATAATAATAATAATAATAATAATAATTATTATTATTATTATTATTATTATTATTA